TCCTTAAGAGACTAGACTGAGACTATTTAGTTATTTCACAAAGCCTTGAGACAACAGATTATTCATCAGTTGTGGCCTGGGCTGAATTCTAAAAGGTATCACGGGTTAGATGTTCCATATGCTAGAAGCAATGCCTCGAGCTACAGTGTCTTGCAATTTGACTATTTTGCCTTGTGTAAAAAGGCAGAAAAACTCTAAATGTTGTTCAGACCCTTCAAAAGAAAGTGTTTTTAAGTACTGCTATTTGAAAAATTCACATATTTCACTTGTAAGCACTCTAGATTTGCAAAACTGCTGAATACATGTTTTGTGCACTAGCAGTGATTGAGAACATAGCTACGTCAATGGCATTCTGTGTTTTGTTTTTTTTTCCTGGTCTGGATGCCAAAGAACAGCATGCATCTTCCTTGCAACAAGCTGTTGCAAGATTTTTGCCTCCGGAGAAGCCAAGGGGGAAATATTGATAGATGTGTTAAAATAATCCTTCTAGACAGGGGGATCATATCCATGTTACAAGGATACTACCCCCTTTCTTGTTTTGCAATTATTTTAGGGTATCTCTAAAATCTCAACAAAAAATACAGCATTAAAAACTCACTTTCACATGGTAGTCTCTCCCGCAATGTTTGAAGAGAGTCCATGCCATATACCATACAAGTTAGTGGTGGTCAATGGAGTAAGTATGTGGAATAGCTCAAATCCAAGCAAAAGATTTTTGCATATTCTTGTTTAAAACAAGATCTGATTGCCTTTGTGATGCTGCACCCAATTCTGTAAGTAGTTCAACTCTTAGGCTTCTCCTTTTGTAAAGCAGGAAAGAAAGCATCACTCCTACTCAAACTTTTGCATTAAAATGTCCTTGTGGACTATCATAGACTATTGCCCTTTTTTTCCTTCTCTCAGCACTCTAGTCTATCCACAGACTGACTAACACGCACATCAACGTCAGATTTCTGGTTACAGCTCTCTCTGGGCATCCCATTCCCTTCTTGCTCCTTTTCTGCCTGAAGTGCTAGCTGTAATTCTGACAGGTTCTGGATTTCAAGCTAGCTAGCTGATCAATACAGGAGGGGAAGACCTCCAGGTTTGCAGAGAGTAGAGTTGATCACTGAACGAAACACATCTATTGACTCATATAATTAACAGAATTAAAAATTTAGGATCATTTTAATTAGAGGAGTGTGCTGACCACTAGCTAGCATAAATTAAGATAACTGGCAGTAACAGTCCTAAGAAAGAGTATTCACACATGGATTTCTTCCTGAAAATTTTAACTCCAGCTGCATCCAACCTCCTTGGTGAAGGAAGGCATCAGTACAATTATAATAAAAACAACAATGCAGGTGAAGCTTAACAGATTGAAATTTGGCTTTTTTGTTCAGAAAGTAAATGTAACATACTGAAAGTGCAAGTTGAAGTACTGATCTATGTGGAAAAAACCCACCTTTTCAGTATTTTTAAAGACGGTGTTTGCTAATCACTATTAGTATAGTATACCCTTCTCTTCTATACAGATACGAATTGCTGCAGAGCTTTAAAAAAAATACAATCTTTTAAATCATACAGAATCTACTTGTCCATCATGGGTTAAGGGATTCCTGGCCTATCAGCAATCTTCCACAGCACTCTTAATATTAAAAATTTCTGCTGCTTACACCGCAAGGGAGAAAAAGCTGACAAAAGCCTTTGGCCAGTGAGATCAAAATTGGGGATGGGGGGAGAAAGGGGAGTTTAGCTTATTTACATTTTTGCTTTGTTAGTAAGCTGGAATGGTTGGAGGAGGAGGGGAAAAAAAAAAAAAAAAGACAGAAAAGTGAAATTAACAGCCACTAAATCTTCTGGCAACAGCAGTGCATTTTGATGATGTGCTGCATCAGCTTCCACTAATGGTTCAGGGTTGAATCCAGGCACAGTTCAAGACCCAAAGCAGCACAGGGCATCACATCTCATTCTTTGGAAGAATGCGTACCCTAATTACGAGAATGGCTACAAAATAAAGATATCTGGATTTTTGGCAAAGCAGAGTAACAATATACTTAACAAGAAATCAGATGCCATTTTGAATCCCTAAAAATCATAAAAGAGTAGGATTTCAGTCCTGTAATGAATGGGCATCTGAAGGAGAAGTGTTACCATTTTCAAAGAAAAAGATCTTTCTGAACAAAACCCATGGAAGTTACTTTTTTTGCTCTTTGGGGTTAATCTCCATAGTCTATTCCAGTAATGTGAATGGAAACAAAGGGTGTATATCTGTGTGCCACTTACCAGACAAAATATCCGTCCAGTATTTCAGAGAGGACAGGAAGGATATGCCCACTGAGCTAGGGACGTGCCAATGTCAGTGCTGCCTGTGCCAGTCCATTCCCGTGAAACCCACAGTGTGTGGCAGAAAACGATGCAGGGCAGCAGGCTTGCCATGGGGTGGGGAGACAGCTTAAACAGGCAGTAGAAGAGAATCAGCCATTTGGAAGGTTTAATAGGGGGCTGTTTGTTAGTCTGCCCTTTTGATGTTAAATTAGTCTTCAATTTTGTTGCAAGGAAGGAGGCACTGGGAAAAGGATGCTTCTCTTCCAGTAAACCCTGGGAAAGCAACACCTTTATTTTAACGGCCTTCCCACCAAGAACCCCCTGCAACATTTTGGCTTTCCCTAGCCACAGCTATCAGCAATACAACAGCTGCTCATTTTACAATGACTTGCTGGAGAGAGGATGATTGAAAGAGCCAATCTATGTCACACGGAGAAGCTGTGGCACAACATCGCAGGAGGTAATAGGAGAGGAATGAGGTCAGAACAAACAAGGGTAGGGTGAAAACAGAGAGGAAAATAGCAGCGAACAAAATTACTAAAGGCAAGGCGCTGTACTACACAATCCGTGTTTAAAAACAGCCACAATCTGAAAACTGCAAATAGCCACAGAAACGCAAACGAGCTCTGTATTACTTTTTCATAGGGTCTCGTGAATATGGCTGATGAAAAAAGCTACCCAAGACCTAGTAACAAAACACAATGGTGGCAATACACTTAGGTGAAAGCACAGTCTAATTCACATGGCTTGAAAGCCCCAGCACCCAGCGGCGTCCCACTAGTCGCAGGGTTTTAAATAGCAGCCTTGCTCGTGTCATTTTGCAGCTTGAGAAACACAGCAGCAGCAGCTTCAGCAGCCATGCTACCAGCCACCCGGCACCCCTCTGGAGACAGCTGCATCAGCTCACTCCTGGGAGTTCACCTTTAGCAAAAGAGCTGCAGAGACCAGGAGCTCATCCACGCTGGGGAAAGAGCAGCAGCCAATTTTGATTTAGCGCCATTCATAAAAATCCTTCCTGAGGAAGAGTTGCTTTTGTCTTACCGCAGTAGAGCAGAAAACCACAGTGCAAAACGGTGGCACTGTTTGTATGAGGAGGCAACACTTCTCACTAGGCCAGTCACAAAAGGGAGCTTTTGGGCTCAGCTGAAGCAGTGAAGTGACTCTGATTCTGACCTTTGGGCTCACAGCCCTTCTATTTTTAACCCACAGGAATCAGTTGATTTCATAAATGTTATTACTTCCCCCTACACATTGTCCTGTTCCCTTCCTTATTTATCATGGCTACAATGAAGCTACTTTCAATGTTACACTGTCCTCTCCCTATTCAGCAATCAGGCTGCTAAAATGACAAGCCATTTACTTGCCTTAATCTGACTGTGGGAAAATGTTAACTTTCCAGCTAGGTGGACTATCAGGCTTCACTCAACAACAGGGATGGGCCTCTGCAACACGTACTGGGAAATAGATTGCAAATACAAAGCTACCACACTGCACATAATGCAAATATTCTGCTCCTGTTACTGCTCCTGCTATTCCTGCCCCACCAGAGCATGTGCTGCCAGTCACAGTGGCTGGAAAGGGAAGAAATACCTGCAGGGCACTCATGCAGCATCAGGGCTCAGGCCACATTTAATACGCAACATTCCTGCATGCACTGAGCTTACCCCCCTTTGCTTATCTAATTTAACCTCTGTATACAATCAGGCATGTACATTTTACACAGACACCTTTGTACTGTATACTGAAACACATGCTACTTGCTGAATTTTAACCTGCATTTAGTTTACAGAACATCTAATGAAAAGGCATCACTGCTTTTGTTTCTTCTAACTGAGCTCCATGTTGATTTTTTCATGGTTTTGTCAGCAACTGATCTTACCCCTAGGGTAACGTCAGCACTCTCCTACTCTTAGGAATTCCTCTAGTATTCAAAATGTCAAAAAAGAATAAAAAGCTTGAGCATCAGAAAGAGAATAAACTCATCTGCTGCTGCCTGATCCCCTGCAAGGAACATACCAGATGGGTGGGGACAAGGTAAGACTGGAATTAATACATACCTTTCTTTTCTTTTGGGTGTCCTAACAGATTTCCGCAAATTTACAAATGTACGTGAATACATATGCGTGGCACAAGAGAGCAAGTGGCAAGCATGCTACTGGCATTTCCATTATTATTGGTGGGGCTGGATTCCTAGTAACTTGTTGACCTTTGCAAATATTAAGAAATATCTCATATAATATTCTGTATTCATGTCCAAAATTACATTACACAGAGCTGGAAAATCTCTGCCTCATCCTCTGTGTCTGACACCACCATACAAGTCCAAGATCCAAACCCAACAAAAATACAGAGTAAAATGAAAAAAGGGACCCTGTAAATAACAGAAATACATGCCAGCCAGATGACACACAAACCAAATATGAAAGTTATGATCAAGTATTTGCTTTGCTCAATGATAAAAACATTTATCGAATAACCTATGTGGAGTCAAATTCAGAATTTTGAACACTCTGAGGGCTTGGCAGCTGAAGTTTAGAGGCAATTAACCCCTGCTTTAAGTAGGCATTTTTTTGCAGAAAAATGCCCTGAAAACGCAGGATTCTCAGAAAATAAATGTATTTGGAATACAAGAGTATTTATGTATTTAATAAACCTTTCTACTGGTTTATTTTTGTTTGTTGGAAGAACCTTACCTGGAATACTCGCTGGAGAAATCGGACCAGATCTTGACTGGTTGCTTCCAACAGGAGAGCCAACAGGGGAGGGTGAGGGGCCCCCAGGGATGCCAGAGAGATGTGGAGAAGCATGAGGGGAGAACGGAGACTGTGCAGGGTTGCTCTGCTCCCCTTGGCTGCTCGTAGAGCCTGACGCACTAACAGCTGAGCTCAGGGTTGCTTCGGTTCCAGTCGGCAAATCGTCAATGGATCCAGATAAATCCTGAGCAAAAAGGAAAAAAGAACATCAATGGCTGTATGAACTCAGGCCACAAGGACTCAAGAACTGGCATGTTGATGAGGCCCATTTATTTACTTCTTGCAGCAGATAGGCAAGAGGTTGTCTTCAACATTGGTTCCTGTAGTTAAACGATGGCAGAAAAGGAAGACAGTATGCACAATTCTCCACTTAATCTATCATTCTTTCCCGTAAAAGAACCAACAAGGGCAACAAATGAATTGGAACCAAATTCACTCAACATTGAATTTAACCTTTTCCATCTGGATTAAGCTTTCAAAATTAATCCCACAAATTCTGCCTGAGCATACTAAAACTAATGAAAATGATACATCAGTTTCACTTTCACATATTATTTCATTTTGGAGTTTGCTACCATTACAATCACAGCTTATATACTTCACTCCTTAAACCATCACCAAAGCGAGAGAAGAACGGTGTAAAATACACAGACCCTCTAAAACTCACATGTAGCTCTTTCACCTTGCAGAAGAGACACAAGAAGAGGGCCTGCCCTCAGCAGCAGAACAGGACCCACTGGCCACCTCGGAGCAAGGAAGGTTACTTCTCTATTTGCATCCAAAACCAGTGTACAACTCACAGTTTCTCTTAATTTAATTTGAACAGACAGCTAAACAGTTGCTGTTTCAGCTCATAACTGCTGCATTTTCCATCAGAAATTTCATCCACAGGTCAAAGCACATCTGAATACTAACTAGGAATTGCTGGGCATATTCCCTAAAGCTGTAACATCGGAGTTATACTGGCCTTATTATTACTGGGAGCAATTTGTTTTTAAATCATTGTTAAATCATACATGAAAGATCAAGAACACTGTGACAAAGCAAGTGCGTGCCCCTTAACTGTCAGGAAAAGCATCATAGGAAAATGTCATTCAAACTGAAAAGTGCAAAGGCAGCTCTGCTTCCATGACTACTGGTGAGACATAAGTTAAGGAGCAGGTTACTATTTCTGTTAGTGAATTAAGATGCAAAGAAGAGGCAGAGAGCTACCTCACAGATAAACCAGGTCATTAAATGGAATTTGGGGCTTCCAATAACTGGGATGACAGTATGTTACTTTTGCTGATACTGACTTCACTTGCCTGGCTCATGCAAGTGGTTGCACTGCAGACAACAAAACATGTTGTCTTAGCAGCACCAAAAAATCTGGGTGCTACCTGTGCAGAGAGCTCAGGAAGAAAAGTCTTACTGTTGCCTAATTTTAATTTTCTTAAGAAAGTTATTTTTAGAATTTTCAGAACTTGGGTGAAATGCAAAGTGGTGTATGTATTTAGAGCAACAGTGCGGCCTGATGCTGACCACCTTCATTACATGGGAGGCTGGCAGCCTGTCTCCCCTAACAGATGGATATAGACAGATTTTCAAGGCACAGAAAGAGCAGGATTAACAGTTTAAACACCAATATAATACATTAGAAGCCACCTAGAATGCTACAAGTTATTCCTCCTTGTGCATAAAGGTAGTAAACACAAGGCAGCCGACTAAGGTGTCTGACGGGCAACTTGCAAACTTTATTTCCAATGGATTTCCACAAATACTTCAGGCACAACAACTCTCACCACAGATTAATTTTGCTTTCTCTAACAAGCACAAAATTGCATGCGTATTCCATTAGGTATATAAAAGGCAAGAATTAAGTTTGCAGCTTCAATCTACGTGTGGACTCTGCATTCACTCAAGACTAGACTTCCAAATTCCTACAAATGGAAGTTTGATTGTGAAATGTGTAATAGATTATTTTGTTTCTTTTTCAAAGCTATTAACTGTAGGAAATATAGACATGAAATAACACCTTGTGATACTGTATAGTGCAACGTTAGAGATTTTTCACAGCAGAATGTGGCAAACAGGTAAGCAATTACTGCTTTTCCATACATAATAGGATATTCTTCTAAATGGAATCAAATCGTTGCTGTCGTGACATGTAACAAATGCTGCAGGAAGTGCTGGTGAAACAAATGCTGCTGAAAAGCATATAATAAACTCCTGAAAACCAAATATAGCAGAACAGAGCCTATTCTACTAAAGGAACACAAATTCTGCATAAAAATCATAAAGACGCCCAAATGACCGAAGATACAGAAAACACAGGGGTTTATGTTTACCTTTCATTTGTTTCAGTGAGCCACCAAATACTTAAATAACATACATGCCACTAATGAATATTCATTAACCAATTAGCACTGTCCATGATGAAATAATCTGTTGTTCAGAGACCAAGTCAAAACCTGACCACTCCCCAACCTGAGCACCTCCCTGGCTCTCCAAGCACTTGTGGGGAAGAAGGTGGGGAGAAGGAAGTTTGCTTTTCCCATGAGGTGGCATCTGACTTCTCCAGCCTCCCACAGAGAGGAAGAGTGACTGACTAGTCCCAGGCATTTCCTCAAGTGCCCACTTTCTAGGAATTTCCTCATCAACCTGATGTAAGTCCTTCACAAATACGGAAAAGCAAGAGAAAAGCTTGCATGACGCCAGTCTGTTTGAAGACTGAAGCCATGCCGCCCTGCCCCAGTTTGCTCTGAGGGAGCAGCCAGGCAGCCTCAGCACAGCTGTGGTGCTGTCTGCTCCCTGCCATTAGCACTGGGATTTCCTACCTGGGCCGGGGAACTTCACAACCAACTCATCTGCTAAGAGTGCTATGGTAGCATTCACCCATCAGACCCATCCAGAAAGCTGATAATGAGGATGGCATGAAACGCTACTGCCTATCTAGATGCCTGGCCTGTGCCACACAACCTTAAGCTTGTGTCACACAGAGCTAAAATAAGAAATATGAGCTGTTCTGTGCTGGGTGGCTCGCAGGTCACTACTTTGCATTTTTTTGTTAACATACACTTTGTGGCCTTATCTAGTCTTCTAAGGTAGAAAGCCCAAGTAGGCTAGCAACTGGGAAACCTGCAGCACATAAAGGCTTTAGAAACACCTCTGTTATCCACAAAAGCTAATTGGGAAATTAAAGAGATGGAAGAGAAAGACTTTATGTGAAGCACCCGGACAGAAAGAGCAGAAGTTGACTTACTGCTCTCCTATTATCAGTATTTTAATGCCTGCTTTTACCTCAGTGTAACAGAACAGTAATGAAGTCGTGTAATTTCACATCACAAACATTTATTTATATATAAAATACTGTACAAGTACACATTATATACATAAATTACATGGATATGCTTGCATTTACTTAGGATATCCATATGTAAAGCTATTAAAAAGCCTACTAATAAGAGAAATTCACAGTGGTTTAAGCATACAGCCTAGTTAACAAAGAAGCTCTGTAACTAATACTCCTCTAGAGGACAATTTAGACAGCAGGGCACCAACTATATTCTTCTTTTATAAGTACTATCAGATCTATGATGCCTGTAAAGAACAGAGAGACCTTACTGCATCTCATTCAAACCAAGGCACCTTCAAGCTACAGTGCTTCCATTTATCTTCTTGGAAAGTTGGCAGGTTAGGTAATTGCAGGGATTCTTTTAAGGGGCTGAAGTCCCCACATCCTAAGGCATGCCTTAAATTTTGCCTCTTTTCAGAGGCTTTTTTTCTGGAAAACACTCATTTCTTCCACTAAAATGTAGCAAGTCTAGAATTACCAGAAATTTCTTGCTTTACAGATGTGTTTTATGTAATCTTATTATTCTTGTCTATGGTACTGTTATGATTATATTTTCAAATATGGCACTAAATGTAAGAAAAAATGAAGTATAAAGTATTTTATCTTCCCTTGTCATGAACCCATATCACAATTCTGTATTGTCTACACCAGCTTTACATCCTGTATTATTCAGGACATCCCAACCAGCTTTCAAAGTTCATTTCTAAATAATACCTCGATTACAAACTCAGATGTCCCTGCACAGGATTTATCTCTTTCAGCAAAGTGTTTTATGTCTGACTATCTTCACTTCCAACCTGACCTTCCACCCATGCAAACCTTTATTCTTGTCCCTCTGAAAAGTACAAGAACTAAAATGAACGGGATCACATTGTGCTTCGGATTATAATGTTATGCCTTCCTGGTGGTATGATCTTATCAGGCTGACAGGAGAGCTACTCTTGAAACAGCACACCAATTTACTATTGCAACGCAGCCAGCAAGAGGTAGAAAGAAGCAAACTGCTTCTATATAGCCAGGAAACACAAAGTTACTTACAAAGAGAGCACAGGACAAAAAAACCCCACAAACACTTGTTTACAATATTATAATGTTAACCTATTCAAGGACTAAATGGTAAAGAGGAGACTAAGTAACTCAATAACACACACAGAGTGTGACAGGATTACAGCATTCACCATGGAGAAAAAATTTACACTGCAAACACTTTACACTGTTGCTGCTTTTGCTCAAGAGCGCTCCCAGCAGACATAAAACAAGATTTTACTTGTTAAATACCTACAGTTGGAAAACTAATAGTACCTTCTCTGAAATCAGTAAAAAAGGAGAGTGTGGAGCAGGTCTAGAATGTACATAACACCTTGTTAGCCTAGCTTCTATGCTGCTAAATTGCATCATAAATTCACTGACAGGTTATTGCAACCCGGGGCTCTCTTGCAAGGATTGTGTGGAGCATACACGACCTGGGATTTACTTAAACTTCCCAACTATCACCTACCAGTTCCTTTTCGCTCAGCGAGGAGGAACAGAGGTATTCTATTGATATTAAAATTAAAGGCATACGAACCCACCCGGTCTCCAAGAACCTGAAAACCCCAGACTCTACCCTACCATCCGTTTTGCTAGTACGAATCCCAGCACTACATGCTGAAACAACCGACTGGCTGCAGGATCAAAGCCCAGCTCACTCCATTCAGGCCTTCCTGCTGTATTTTTATTAGGCTGGAGGATGGTACTGCTCAAAAAAACAGGATCCTGAATGAAATATCCATCTCTTTAACATGAATCACTGCTTTAGAACTAAAATTATATTTAAAGGCAAACATATTTTATATGTAAGTATGTAAATA